GACCCAACCATGTACTTGCCTTGATGTTTCCTGGGGAAGCGATTTGTTTGTTCTTGTAGTAACAGTCCATCTGCCTCTATTGTTTTGTAATTTTCCTGTAGGTCTTTCTTTCAAGAAGTATCTTCTGTTCTCCTAGCCGCTCCAGGCTGGTCTGCTCGTCCCTTCAAGTAGAGATTTCTCATCTCTGGAGATCTGGATGTGGTTCAGGTTTCTACCTATAGTTTTATGTATTGCAAAGGCTCCATAGGAAGCGTCATTCACTGGGTAAGCTGTAGCCCCATTTTAGGTATTCCAATCAATTATAGGCATAATACGGACTTACAAGCCTTCTATGGTGATGTTTCTGACTATTCCTTTCTCTCCCCCTCCACTCAATAAGTACTTTTTAACTGCTCACAATAAAACATATTTGCACATACATGTTTAAATTACCATAATTTAGGAAAAATTTCTTTAGTGTGTTTCTACTGTTATATAATTCCCCCGCCCCCCCCCCCCCCAATGAAACTAAAATCACAGGATGCTTATCACCTACTATCCAATGGAAACAGTTTCTGCTATATGACTCTGGTTTTATTAATCCTTGTTAAGTGCCGTCAGTCAGTTCCTACTCATAGCGACCTTTTATAGGGTTTCTGAGGAGCAGCTTGTGAGTTTGAACTGTCGACCTTATGGTTCGTAGTCCAGTGCTTCACACCAGGAGTCCTTATTAGTCCTAGCAGTTCGCATTTCTTATTTTGTCTTGCACTCCTCTTCAGAATTCAAGAGAGACTGATACTTCTTTACTTCTTAAATTTATTTTGGTGGAATCTGGACTTTTTCAGTTTAGCTGTGGTTTGATTCCCAAATGTACCTATTTGTCCCCAGGTTCCATCAGGCACACTTGGGCAGGAAGTTCCTATGGAAGAAATGACATCTCTGGATAGTCCAAAGAAGTCCTTAGATACCCAGCACCATCCTATGGAGGATAGAATGGCATGTGAATCTCCAGAGCCATGTCTTCTTCAAGATAATGGTGAGGATCATTTGTTCCTGGAAAGAGGATGAGAATTGGGAGAGGAAAGAATCGTGTCATTGATGAGTTATCAAACCTCATTCAATTTCAGCTTGTACTGAATATAGTTGAAAGAAATGTCAACCAGTGTCGTTTAAGGTTATTAAAAGAGGGACATAAGCAGCCAGGTCCTACTGTGAAACACATGGGTTGCCATGAGCAGAATTGACTCTACAGCAATGTGTTTCGTTTTTTGATTAAATCATGTCAATTAGTTAAGCACAAGATTACCCAAGGATACTTTGTAATGGAGTTCACTACTATGGATAAATCTGAGATGCCTCTGTATGGAAATGTTGAGTTCTTATCACTGTAGTTGTATTGTTTCTGTTGCCTCTGCTCCCACTTTTGTCACATAAAGGCTGTTTACGAATTAGAAAGTGTATTGAAGAAATGGTTGTTACTTAAAACTCACCAGCTGCTCCATGGGAGAAAGTTAAGGCTATTTGTTCCCATAAAGATTTTAAGATTTACAGTATTGGAAACCTTGTGCAGGGTTGCTATGAGCTGGAGTCAACTTGATGGCAGTGGGTTGGGTTTGGTGGTTTGTCTTCATTAAGAGGTCTAAGGTCTGTATGTTGTTGTGTAGTGGACATGGTATAATCTTGTATAGTGGCATACTGTTGTGTAATGGATGCCATTGCACATGCTGGCTTGTTCTGGAGTAGCTATTTTTTTTTTTTTTTTT